GACCTCCCCTATTGCTTTCTGTAAAACTGACCCTATTCACCATCTTTAGTTTGTTTCAGACCTTTGCCTCTCTCCCCCGCCAAGCCGATCCTCTCCATGCCTCAGTAAAAATAAAGAAAACTGCCCAGGCTCTACACTAAGAGCCTAACTTGCTCCTTCCTTTCATAGTAGGAAAGTCACTGAAGAGTTTTCTCAACCAACTTGACTTCTTCAACACCCAGACTCTCCTGATTGTTTCACGGTGCCTCTGCTCCCGTCTCTCCTGGAGGGGCTGCATCCCAGGCCGCCAAGACCAAGGGGAATTTCCTTTTCACCTATCTGACCTTTTACTAGCATGACAAACTATTTTTTTCTTTTCATTTTTGGGTCACATCTGACAGTGCTCAATACTCCTGGCAGTGCTAAGGGGATCATATGGAGTGCTGGGAATTGAACTGGGGTCCGCTACAGGTAAGGCTACTGCCTACCACTGCACTATCTTTCGGCCTGCATTACACGTTTTTGTCCACATCCTCCTCTGTTCTCTGGGACTTCCTCCGGCTAGTCCTGGCTCTGCAGACTTGGCCTTCTCCTCCCAGCCCCTGCAGGTGGTGCCCACAGGGCTCACTCTGCTCCCCTGCCCCAGAACCCCTTCCCTAGGGGACCCCAGCACTGTGATGCAGATTTAAGCCTCACATTGACACCTCTCCTCTCAGCTTCCGACCTCCAGATCCAGAAACACCCTGGAGGTTTCCACTGCAGTGTTAAAGCCCTCCCAGACCCAGGTCCAACACAGTGATCTCTGTGTTGGCCTCTGGCTTTCCACCTGAGTGGTGGCTTGGTCCATGTCTTCCTGGAGGCCACACATGGGAAGCCTTGATGTGCCTTGTGCTCTTCTCTATATCCATCAACACACCTGGAGATTTTTACCCCTTTACTGTCTTGATTCTCTGAAATCTGTCTCCTTGTCAAGAATTATCACTTATTACTCAGACTCTTAGAGTCCAATCATCAGCTCATGTCTCTTTCTAAATCATTCCCCTAACATAGCCAGAACAGTCATTTCCCTTTGAAGATCACGTCACTCTTCACCCCTTCACTTCTCCACTCCCACCTCTCATTCCATCTCTCCAACTGTCAGCCTGACAATGATCCCTTACTCAGCCCTGGACTTGGGTTGGAGCTGGCTTTCTTGCTGTTGTGTTTCAGGTGAATACACTTAGGGTTGGAATGGATCACAGAACATCTCAGTTATTATTTCTCTGGTCTTCAAAAGAGGCCTTTTCTAAACCACTGGAGAGGACCAAGCATTTTGTCTGATTTTTTTAATTTTTCAAAACTTTTTATTGAATATCTGTGATATAGACCTGTTGGTTATTACAAAGCCGTTCATGATTGGGTTTCATCCATATAATGATCCAACACCCATCCCTCGACCATACGTTTTCCCCCAACAATGCCCCCCATTCCCAACCACCATTCCCCAACACCCCTTCCCCCCTTCACGTTCTTCTTTTTCTGTCTCTCCTTTTGTGCATTATGGTTTGCAATACTGTTACTAAAAGGTCATGGTGTTTGTTCAGGAAGTTCAGTATTTTTATTGGGAAGGTAAGACTGATGTAGCTTTTATAACTAGGTAGCTGCTTTGGGGCATGGACATGACTGCCGAGGCTTCTGGAAGTACAGGGAGGTTGGAGAAAGCAGCCCATCCCAACCCTGAGAAAGTCTGGAGATGTCAAAAAACCCGCATACCTGAATTTTCAGCAGATTTTGTCTTGGTGAGGTCTGTTCCAAGATGGTGGAATCCAGCTGGGGTCATGGCAGCGATTTTGGGTTGTGGGAGCAAACATCTGCCAAGGGCTTTGCTTGGGCGCAGGCTGACCCGCCTCCCTCCGATTGACCCGTCTGTTCAGCCTTGTGTGGGTCCAAAATTAACTGTGGCTTTTGATCTCTTTCGAGATTTATTTATGGGTCTCTGAAGCAAGGCCGATGAATGAGTTTATATAGCTGAGCTGTGGTTTGTGGGCATGGTTCCCACCCACCTAACTTTTGGCCAGTTAATTTCTCAGGAAACTTGATCCCGAGTTGTTGGGGTCTGGCCAGAGGCACAGGGCAATTCAGGGGTATAAGGAAGCCTGAAGGCACCATCGCCCTGCGGATACAGTTTGACCTGCTTGGTGGCCCCGCATCCCCTTGTCTGAATTTTTATACCCTGGGAAAGAAACAGTCAAGTCTTTGGCAATAGTTTCCTACCTCCGTGCTTGTTCTGGGGGGTAGTTACCAAAACCTGAAATATCAGAGATGGAGCTCTCCTTCCCCATCACCTAGGACAATCTCAACTTTTGATAGAGAACACTGCAACCCCCTCACACAGGTAAACCTGGTAGAACCAGGACATAAAGGTGACTTCACTTTCCAAGCTTCCGTCTCCAACTCCACGTGCCATTTCCTCTTGTTCTGTCCTTGGGGATGAAAAGGCTCAGGGTCCTCTGGGTCTGTGTCTTCTGTCTCCCAAGCTCTCCCCTCAGGCAGTGGTTGGGCTAGTCACTTTCTTAGGAGGCAGAGACACCATGGGAGTGACTTGGAGACCAGACAGATGGAGGACACGGACAGGGAGCATAGTTTGTGGAACTTTAAAACCCAAATGATGGAAGGTTCTCCCCTGAGAGAGCCCGTTACAAAGAACTTTGGCCTGATACACCAGGAATGTATGAATGCATAAACGTTTAGATAGATTAACAGGAAGTTGACCAAAGAGAATATTGTTCCTCTCCTGATGAGGCCTGGTTCTAAGCAGTCAGTATTGTTCCTGGGGGACAGTCAGGGCTGTCAGTGAGGCGAGGAGCTCATGCCTTTTCTCTCATATTTCTGTCTCTTTCCGCAATCCTCATGCTTCAGGCCTGTCCTCAGGGCTGGTCCCTGGCAGAGACCACTGGAGTCCATGGTGCCTGAGGGGTCGCTCATGGCAGGTGCCTCCTTGCTCCTCAGTCTCAGCAGCGAAGGCAGATTGTCTAGCAGGATCTCTGAGTCCCTGTGAGAAGCCCAAGGAGCCTCTAACCCAGGCCTGCCACATGGAATGTTCTCTGTGGAAGGGGAGGAGCAGCAGCGGTCAGAGCGCTACCCAGTGAATAGCTGGGCGGGGTGTGTGTGTCTGCATCTAGGCAGAGGCCAAGGGCAGATGAATACTTACGGGAGAGCACAGTGATACTTACAGGTGATACTTACGGGGGAGCGCAGTGATACTTCCTTGGAAAGACCCGGGAGAGTGCTAGACAGGGAGTTTGTTGTGTGGTTCCTTGAAAGCACAGAATGACGGGAACCCCACTCGCTGGCTTGTGTCCCTGTTGGAGGTCAGCTTGTTTGCTCTGCGCATCCTTGACGTTTGCTGCCAAGTGCCTCCCTTGAGCAGACTGACCCGAGTGGGCAGGTCCACCCACAGATGTCCTGGTCATTGGGATCTGCTGCTCTTCCACGAACCTCCCTCTGGAGAGCTTTGAGACCGCTAGAGAGGAGCAGAGGTAAGGGAAGACAAGGTCTGACCCTCAAGGCTTTTACTCTTAGTTTCCTGAGGACCTGATGGTCAGTCAGCGGTCCCCAGAGGAACCCAATAGGTTCCCAAATCATTAGAGGGCAGCTGCAGAGCCATGAGTGCATGAGAGTTGTTCGCTCAGTTCCCCCTTTCTTGTCCCCCCGGCCCCCTCCCCCCCACACACCCCAGGCCTGCAGAAGTCCAAAGGAGTGGAACCTCTTTCCCCCCAGAAAAATTCCCTCAATCTCCCTGGGTCTCTCCCCTGAGGCCCGGTGAGGGGAGCATCCTTCCTACTTACTCTGCACCAGCGGCCCCTCACCCAACGATGATTTTGCCCCGGGCTGTGCCCAGTTCACAGGTTCCTTCTCCCAGGTGTCTGTTTGGGTGTCCTGGGGGAGATGGGAAGGGATGGGACCCCGGCAGGGAGCCGAACAGAGCCGCCAGCACCCGCTGGAGAGGCTGAGGTGGGCCTCACAAAACCCGGGGTTGCAGCCACTAGCAAGGGGTGGGGAGCACTGCAGATGAGCAGTCCCGGAGGGTTGGGCTTCCCTTCTTGGAAACTTAAAGCACTTGAGTGAAAAATCCTGATTGCAACCCGCCCAAGCACCTGCTTTCCGCCGGTTTGGGTGCTTTAAAGAGTTGGACTTTCTGGCCCTTGATTCCGTCATTCGGAAGGTTCGGTTCCTATTTTTACTCGGCCAGGAAAGGCTGGGCCCCTCGGACAGGGAGCACCTGGGGGCGGGGGCGGTGGGGTGGCCCGGGGGTGCGGGATTCAACCCCCGCCCCAGGACGGCGCGGTGTTGCACTGGGGAGCGCGCTGGGTGGCCCCGGGGTGAGGGGCCTGGGGAGCGCGCGGGGTGCGGGAGTCCCGAAGAGCGCGCGGGGGCCCCAGAGAGCGCGCGGGGCCCGGGGTGCGTGTTCCCGAGGGTCGCGCGGGGTGGCCAGAGGAGCGCGCGGCGCCGGGGTGCGCGCGGGGCCCGGGGTGCGTGTTCAGAGGGGGGCGCGGGGCCCGGGGTGCGTGTTCCCGACGGGGGCGCGGGGTGGCTCCGGGGTGCGCGGGCCCGGAGAGCGCGCGGGGCCCGGGGTGCGTGTTCCGAGGGGGGCGCGGGGTGGCCCCGAGGACCGCGCGGGGCCCGGGGTGCGTGTTCCGAGGGGGGCGCGGGGTGGCCCCGAGGACCGCGCGGGGCCGGGGAACGCGCGGGGCCCCCGGCGAGGGCGCGGGGCCCGGGGTGCGTGTTCCCGACGGGGGTGCGGGGTGGCTCCGGGGTGCGCGGGCCCGGAGAGCGCGCGGGGCCCGGGGTGCGTGTTCCGAGGGGGGCGCGGGGTGGCCCGAGGAGCGCGCGTGCCGGGGAACGCGCGCGTGCCGGGGAGCGCGCGGCCAGGCGCGCCGCCCCTTCCCGCCCCGTCCCCGCCCGCGGCCGCGGTGATGTCACGGTGATTAGCATGAGGGGCCGGCCCGCGCCCTCCCCGCGGCGCCCACAAGTTTGGCGGCGGCCCTCGGGGCGCCCACTTGTCCGGCCGGCATGTGACCGCCACCATGGCCCGGCCGCTCGCGCTGCTGCTGCTGCTGCTGCTGCCGCCCGGCCCGGGTGAGTGAGGCCCGCGGGGCCGGGGGTGGGCGGCCGCGGGCTCGGCTCGGGCCGCGCTGGGTGTGTCACTCTCCGCTTCCCACCGCCTTTCCCCCTCGGAAGAAAACTTCGTTCTCGCGGGGCACCGCGCCCCCTTCCCTAAAATAGCCGGGGGTGATGCCCGAGCGCTCCGCCTCGCGCCCACTCTGTCCCCCAGATGGCTACAGCCGCGGCCCGCGCAGGTACAGAGCCGCTGGAGATGAAAGTCCCCAGTGCAAGAGTGAGCTGAGGGTTTGAGCCTGGGGGAGGCAATGCAAGACAAAGGTATCCTTGGAAGCCCACCCACTCCAAAAGCAGAGGCCGGGGGCAGCAGCAGCCCCGTTAGCTGCTGCCCATGCCCAGCCCCGGCTGGCCCCTTAGAGAGGGCCTCCCCACCTTTTCACCCAGGGCCTTCTTTAGGTCTGGAAGGAACGCTTAGGAATGTGTGGAATTCCAGCCGTCACCCCACTGTGACCTCTGGGGACTGCCTTGAGCTCAGTTTCTCCATCTGTGAAATGGAAGCAGTGATGCCCAACCCTCTGGCTCCCTCGGCCCGCGCGGGACAAAGGAGCGTGGAAGTTGCTGAAGGAGCTTGTCGGAGGCGGCCTCTGCTTCCTCCTTTCAGGGCTGTCTCAGAAGCAGGGTGCCCGCCAGCTAGGCAGGGATCTGGCAAAGATGGCATCTCCGGGGAACGCACAGCTCACTTAAGCTTCTTGTGCCACACAAACTTTTGGCATATGCATGAATCTGCTTCAGGAGCCCAGGGGTGCTTGGTCTGATTAAGGGAGCTAAGGGCAGAGAGGAGCACTGTGGGGAGGCCCGGCTCTGCTACAGCCTTGGGACTCCATTCCCAGCACCACCGAGGCCAGGAGCACAGCCCGTGTGGCCTCACACCGAAGGACTAATAGAAACTAAAAAGAAAAGTTTAGAAGAATTACCCCTCCTCCAGTAAAAGCCCAAGTGCACGGCCAGTAGGATTGTCATCGCTGTGAAATGCTTTGTGCTTGGGACCTTCTCCATCCCTGGTGCTCGCTCCTCTGAGAACATTAAGGAGAGGGAGAGGGAGAGCAGATGGCCCACGGGGACCCCGTGTCGATGACTTCCACTGTTTTGAAGTTCCATGGGAAGGAATAAGACATAAAAGAACATAAAAGAGAACGTTTCCTGACTTTCTCATACTAGAGCAGTGACTGGGGAACACACTGTAGATTTGGGAAGTTGTCAAAATAGGTGTTGGGGTGCTGGGCCAGAGAGAGGGGAGTCCTGCCGGAAGGACACACCCCAGGCTTTCCTAGCTGAGGGCCCTGAGCTTATCAGGAGTGATGGCAGGGTGCTGGCTCTGGGGGTCCTGGCAGGTGAGTGTCCTCGTAGCCTGGATGCTCACCGACCATAGAAAGATCGATATTACAGGGATGGAGAAGAAGCGAGGCCCCCTCTGTGCCTGGAAGGGCCCCCCTCCGCCATCTCCAGCGGCCCAGCACGCTTCTTTGAGGGGTGGCAGGGATGTGTGCCGGCTCTGGCTCCCCGGGCTCCTGGTTTGGCTGGGGAGGTGAGAGGAAGGAGGCTCCGGGGAACCCCGGCGCAGGAAGGGAGGGACCGGCATCCTCCCAGGCTTCCCGAACAAAGACTGTCCCAAAGAGCACAGGCTCTTGCGCTGCTGTCAGGCTGCGTCCCAGGTGGCGTAGATCAGAGTAGCAGAGGTGAAGCGGAATGGGGCCTGCTTGAGGACCAGGCGCGACCTCGTCTGCTGCGATCTGGCTCCGGCAGTGGGGAATGGAAGAACCAAGCAGACTTAGGGGCCTTAGAAAATCCACGTTTCCCAGTAACCTTGGATGATCTTTGGGCTCTTGGGCCACTCAGTATTAGTTCAAGTAGTTAATTTTCAGTAACTGGAGTGCTAGCACAGCGGGCAGGGCGTTTGCCTTGCATGCGACTGACCCGAGTTCGATTCCTCTATCCCTCTCAGAGAGCCTGTCAAGCTACTGAGAATATCCCGCCTGCACAGCAAAGCCTGGCAAGCTCCCCGCGGCATATCGATATGCCCAAAACAGTAACAACAAGTCTAACAATGAAGACGTTACTGGTGCCTGCTTGAGCAAATCGATGAACAATGGGAGGACAGTGCTACAGTTATTTCCTAAGACCATGGGGTTGAATCTACAAGCTGACAGGGCCTTGAGAATGCCCTGGGCAACAGGTCCTGCCTTGAGCCAGGCTCTCAGCACCCCAGAGGGCCCACCCGGCACTGCACCAGTTGGGGGGGGGTGGGCCTGAGGGTAGAGGCTGGCCAGGAGCTTAGGGGCTGACAAGCAGTGCGCCCCTCGGGGCTACTGGGGGAACTGTCTGGGGCCCTGCTGCTTCAGGGCTCAGTGGGGCATAGGGGGCAGTGTCAGAGCCCGACCCTACCCTCAGGACTTGGGGTTCAGATTCATGGGAAGCTCTTTTCTTCTCTCGGGCCATTTCCAGTTCTTTTCCTCCTCTCTGGTGGGTTTGGGATTGTTGGTTTGCTTTTGTTTGTGTGCTGCTTCCTACGTTATACCTCCTCCCTCCCTAAAGCCAAGAGTTCCGCTTTTGAGCCCACCGGCGGCCCTGCTGGTGGTTCCATGAGGTTTGTCATGACCAGTTTCGGGGACGATCCTGAGTCCTGAGGTTTTTTCTCTTGGTTTGTTTCTCTGAATAGCGGCGAGCTTCTGAGCCAGAGTTCTGAGTTGAGGGTTTCAGTTTATATGTGCCTTGATTTTTGCTTTATCGTGGTTTCTGCATGTGAGAGGGGTGAGCAGACTTCAGTCACTAGGAAAAGAGCTGTAGAGGGAAAGAACTTTCCCCCCAGAGGACCAGGCGCGACCAGAGGGGAAATGACGTGGAGAGGCAGAGCAGCAGCCCCAGGAAGAGTAATCTTAGAAGAATACAGCTCCCTCGGGGAGAGGAAGTGTCAGCCCAGCCCCTAGAGCCACCACCAGCTGCCTGCTGCCACTCGGGGTCACCATCTCCCCAGTGCTGCCCAGGGGGGGAGGGTCACTGCCATAGTCACCATCTCCCCCAGTGCGCCAGGTCCTGCTGTTCCATCACCGAGTTGTGGGATACTGGTGGGAACTCCCGAGAATTTCTTTGCCCTGAGGGATGGGTTGTGGGAGTTGTGATGACCTGTGGTTTGTGCATTGAAAGCCATATTTCCCCAACCTCCACTTTTTTTTCAGGAACTAGTGCTAAATTATGCTGGATGATGGTGAAAAAGAAATTTAAGTCTTGATCTCTGTGTTCAAGAAGCATATGGTTGGGGGATACAGATCAGATCACATAATAGTGATAATTTTGAGCATTTAATATTGCTTTACTTGAGTTGTAACTAGAAAGACATGAAAGCAGATTTTGAAACCTTTTGTTGCCCACTGTATATTATTATTGTACAAAAATTAATAAATGAAAACTGTATTAGAGACATTGAAAAGTTGTTCACAGGGGCACTGCTACTGTTTGGTGGAGCCAAGTTATTCAAACCCAAATATTCCTAAACTCAGAACCATGAGGAAGTGACTTCATGTGTATCATTACAGAATCATGCTTCTTCATGAAGTTCTGGGTGCAGACAGCAGACCTTAATAAAAGAGGAGAGTTTAGACTGTAACCTTGCGGGGATAAGAGCCTTCAGAGATAATTAGAAGCCGCATTCTTTTAACCTTGCAGGAGCCCTCTCATGGCTTCCTTCCACCTGCCAGCAAATGCTGAACTGATGTTTTTTTGCCCACAAGCTGCATGGGGGGGGGGGGGGGCGGGGATCTGGGGGGTGACAAGTGCAGGTGGCACTTGCTGCAGTTTGAGTCCTGCGGAGTGGGCAGGAGGCTCTGTCCCGGGGGATCCTGGAGCCTCCTGCAGCCCTTCCCAGACCCTGAAAGAGGAGTCTTGGGTCCACTTGCTTAGAGGTACCCCGAAAAGAAGCAGGGAACAGATGTGGCCGCTGCAGTTTTCAGTGCGCTGCCGTCTGTCCCCTCCGGTTGTGTGATGCAGGTTCTGGTGTCCAGGACTGAGGGAGAGGCCTGGTCTCCTTGGCCTTGCTCTTGGTGCTCCTGCCTGACCTGGGTCCTTGGCATTCTCCAGCCCCGGGCGCCAAGCCCCTCCCCATGGCTAGGTCCATGGGGGTGGGGGGGCGGGTGGCAGCTTCTCTTCACCAGGGCACACAGGTCGACCCACATGGCTCACGAGGAGCAGCATCTCACTGGAGTCAGCTCACTCGCCGTGGCCACGTGCAGGAGGCCAACGACGAAGGGACAAAGTCCTTCTAGATCCTCGAGATCCTCCCAGCTCCTCTTTTCTGCTCTCTCCCTGCTCCCCTGTTCTCCCCCTTCTTGCCTCCGAAACCTTTTTCAACATTTTTATTTCTTTCTTTCTTTTCAGAAACCATGATTTATAATGCTGTTCATGATAGGGCTTCATGCATGTGATACTCCGACACCACACCCCACACTGAAGTGCTCCTCTGCCCCCTGGGTTAGCTCAGTTCTGCAGACCAGTCCTCAGGGCCTCTTGTCTTTGACTAGCTGGTCTCTTTCTGTATGAGAGATCATTCTGGGTCTGCCCCTCTCCTCTGACAAACTCACTCTGCATGCTGCTCTCCGGATTCAGCCACGAAGCAGCCAATTGCATGGTTTCATCTTTTGTTATAACTGAGTAGTATTCCATTGTGTGTATATATATATACATATATATATATATTTACCTTCTCTATCTAGGGTTGGAGTGATAGCACAGCGGTAGGGCGTTTGCCTTGCATGCAGCCAACATGGCTGACCCGAGTTTGCTTCCTCTGCCCCTCTCAGAGAGCCTGGCAAGCTACCTGGAGTATCTCACCCACACGGCAAAGCCTGGCAAGCTCCCCGTGATGTATTCGATATGCCAAACACAGTAACAAGTGTCACAATGGAGACGTTACTGGGCCTGCTCGAGCAAACCGATGAACAATGGGAGGACAGTGACAGTTTAATCTA